AAGGAGCTCAGGATTGTTAACAGCCACCTGCTTACAGTGAGTAACAACTGCCATCAAGGCAGGGGCGCTTTTGTACATGACAGGAGAGCTGGCAGCTTGCTTGCTGTGTTTCCTTTCAGGCAGTTCAAGCATCATAAATGCTTACACTGGCATTCATGGACAGATGGACTAATAAATGTTGTGAGAAAGAAACAGCTGTGCATTTGTAAACCTATTCAACAGCATGAGATAGCTAAAGTCTCAGTGGTTTAACTTGATCCTGATTCAGACAGCCTATGAATTTTCAAGGCTGAAACAATGCTGCCATGGGAGCAAAAATACAGCACCAAATCAAATTCTGACAACTGATATAGATTCATGAAACTATCTGAGCTTAGAGCAACATAATAGATGTTTTCATTTGTACAGTACTTAGGTTTGGCCTTTTAAAATAACTTCCAATTGAGTTCCCATAAAACAGGGCCTAGTCAGAAGATAATGCAAGACAACATTTGAGATCTAGAGCTGCAGAAGCTAATTTTACACATGAAGATACTTGCTGCCGTTACTGGATTTTGTTTCCCTATTTCAATATTCCTCAGTCTCTTTCCACACCTCCAGAGTATAACTGGAGACTCATTTCATTTACTAAAGAACATGCAAATATAAGTTCTTGGTCACATCCTAGAACAATGAGCAGGTACCCTTGCAACAAATATAAGCTAACCCGGTTAACATCACACCATTCTCCCACTCTCCCTGGTCAACCACAGTGGAACATTGGTTTCAGGCCAACAGTGATGCTCCTAGGATTCCCCAATGCCTATCAGTTGTATGGTAGGCTGCATCAGGGAACCCTGGTAAATCCTTAGCCCCTCCTTTGAGATGATGTCAGTCACAGAAAGGGGGATGAGACCATGAGAAGGTACACGAGGTCTCCCTGCTCTAAGAGTTACAGATGGTATGGTGCCCTCTTTTTCAAGGCAGATTTGTGCTCCTCATACTGGTGCACCCCCCAAACATACAGTTTGGGAATTACTGTCTGCTTTTATGACACAGCACTGAAAAGATGAGGAAAGGGGTACATGAAAGAATTTCCAAAAACTTTTTTGTTTGTTGCAAACTTGCCTGAATACTTTGTGTGTGACTCACAGCAAAGAGACTCCTGTTTTTGCTCACATAGCAAGAGAGCAAGAGGAGGGTCCTCTGGCACCAGCAAGATGGAGAAGCAGTTCTCTTTGGCTCTTGCTTATCTCCTTGGCTACATATTCCACCCTTTCCTTTTTTGTGTTAAAAGTTCTCTTCAGCTGACACAGCCTCCCACAAACAGCTACTCCAGCTCTGTCTATGCCCGCACAGCCCTAAACAAGGCATACACCCTGGCAGTTTAATACATCAAGTGCTTAATATTGCAAACTCAGGCAGAGAAGCCTCCCTCAGCACTCCTGCCTGTACAGCTGCAGGGCTGATGTCAGACCTTACAGCAGAACCTATTTTGCAGATTCAATATTATTTTCTTCCTGCAGGCACCAAATGATTTCCCAGTCTTTGCAATAACAGCCACTGAACAACTGAGTGCACCTGGTAGAACAGCAAGTGGCTTTCAAACCATGTTTCCAGGATCTCTGAAACTGCAGAAACTTAACTAGGAGCAAACAAGTAACAACAGACAGACTTTCATGAAAGAGAACTGGCCAATCGTTTCCCCTGCAATTGCCCAAGCAAACACTGAGCATGTTCTAGGGTTCTTCCTCAGACCATATGTGGGTCTGATAAAGTCTCCTAGGCCTGGTTTGGTACTCAGGGCCTGAGAGTCCAGATTTTGAGTACTTGCTGTGTCCCAAAAGTGGCAAAGGGCCTCAGACCCAGAGAGTTCCTACATTCTCACTTTGCACAGAGCATTCAAGGAGGTAAGAGACAGCGAACTCTGAACATCACACTTCTTCCATAGTAAAAGGGCCCACAAAAGGTACCCAAGCTCAAGGCGTTCCAAAATTATAGCTGATGTTCTACAAAACTCAACGATTTACAGCAGATACACAAGATCTCCCCAGTGTGGAAAGGGTTTCTAAAGGATAAGTCAGTCTAAAAATCATTAGGAAAAGACTTTTCCTTTTTGCTAGGAAAAAGCATATATCCATTTTGATCCTTGTATAGTACTAATATACAGTCAACAAAAGTGTCCTCAAGTAGGTAAGGAAAGAAGGAAGTAATAACAGAACAATCAACTCTTCTTCTGCCTCTATCCCAAAGGCAACACACACATTTTTTCTTAACCTAATCCTTCACATGTTCTGTGCATCACTGTACAATGGCAAAAGTTGATGCTTATCTAAACTTATTTAAAAACAAAAACAAGAACTGTTTATCTTTATTTTAAACAACAGGGGGCCACCCCATTCCCTCCCTCAAGCAATGCCTCACCGGTTTTGTGAAGTTCTTGTTATTTTTAATCCACCCACTCACACACTATTTGCAGTCTATCCCACCCCACTCCCAAGACAATCTTGTTGATTTCACTTCCTTATCTTTGACTTCTGAAATTGATGAACATGTTTCATAAGGCTGGGAGACACCTTCAGGGCCAAAGGGCCCATATTTAAGCCTAATCTTCAACTCATTTTAATTTTACTAGACTCTTACATAGCCATTCTGCCACTTCCTGCCTCTTGTAGGTACACAAACAGTAGAGCTCTCTCCTTCAAAACAAGGCATGGACTCACAAACGTGGGTTCATAACTGTTTCCTCACATCATTTGCAGGCACTGATCAGACGTCTCTCTGCTTAGCTCCCAGGACAATACAAATCTCTCTCAGCCAAAAAGAAGGGACTAGAAAGGCACTATCCAAGCAACTGCCATTCTGATGTCGTTCTGTGGATGCATTCTAAGGTACAGGATTAAATGGCTTCTCCCTCCTGGGGTCTTAGAAAACAAAAATACTGTATTTTTAAAGTCTAAACCTCTTAAAGGACTTCATAGTCAAAAAGCTGGATCTAAAGTAAGTATTTATCAGCCTTGCAAATACAATGAAGTGAGTCAAAGGATAGGGTGAGTCCCCCAAAAACCACCTCTTCCCATTAAAAAATGCATATCTATGTGGTTACCTATAGCAACCACATAGATACACATTTTTGAATGGGAAGAGCTGGTTTTTTGGGGGGCTCACCCTATCCCTTTAAGCCATTACTGTGCAACAAATCACTAGCATTTATATGGTTAATAAAACATATTTGCAGACACACAGTTTGTGAAAATATCTGCCACGGTGGAGGATAGCACTGTTTTACATTGGGTATGCTTCTGAAGGATCACGTGGGCAAGCTGGCATTTTCAAAGTTAAGGGATGAGCAAGCAAAAGAACATTTGTAATGTGCTGCCTTTCGACCGTCACCTACACTCAATATAGTAGCGCCATACTATGGTTGCCTTACCCCATTCCCTTCTGTCCCATCATTGCTTTGAGAGGATTTCACTTTCTCTATCACCACAAACCAAGGCAGAAGGAAAGTCATACTTGACCAATAATTTCCTCCAGGCACTTCTGGTTAGCTTTAGACTGACCCAAGATCACCCAGTGAGTTTCATGGCTGAGCAGAACTTGAAACCGAGTCTCTCCAGCCCAGCATGTTAATCAGTACACTGCACATGACTGCAGTATTTAGTCAGCTGACCAGTTAAAAAATAAACAGAGCTCCTGATCGACCAAACAGCACAGGTTTTTTGGCATCGCAAAGAAACAAGTATCCCAAACAGTATCCCAAAGAAACAAGATTTGGCTTTCAGGTTGTATGACCCAACCCCTAATTCCTAGTATTGCTCCTACCCACGGCCACAGAAGTCTTCTTGGCTACTCACCCACCACATACACACAGTGCCAACTTCCAAGGCATTGCAACCCCCATCCCACTCCAGATCAGAAAACAGGATGCCTCCTTGTCACCAGTCACAGCTCCTCTTGAAGTTAAGATCAAGATGGACCTAGACTGGGCTTGCTAACTATTTCCTCCATCCTCCCCAACTAGTTGCAAAGCTCCTGGGTTGGCCAGGTCCAGGAGGAAGAGAAACTTTTCCTATGCCACTAGATCTGTGGAAAAAAGCTTTCTTTCTATACTCCTCAGCAGAAACAACAGGGGAGCCAACGTGGGTCCTAAAAGCTGGCAACCCTCAGGCACTTCACGTGCTCCCATTTCAAGGCTGAATCCAAAACAGCCCTACGCCAAGGGACCCTTTTCCAGCATCAGAGCTCAGAAGGTGCAAAATGACAAGAAAGAAGCACACTGGAGTCAGTGAAAAGAGCCCCTTCCCTTCCCCACACATTTGGACTATAGGTCTGCAAGCTAATGGAGCGTGTGTGGGGGGAGTACCTTGCACCAAGCAGGCAGGAACCTGGATATCTTTGTAGCCTATGGAACCTCCTGCTGCTACAATAAACCTGATAATCATTACTGTGTGTTAACTGCCCTCAAGGCGCCTCTGACTTATTATTATTAGGGTGACCCAATGTCCTCCAAAACGTCCTATCATTAACAGCCTCGCTCAGGGCTTGCAAAATGAGGGCGTGTCAAGTCTCCCTCTTTTCCTGCCGCCTCCAACTTTCCCTTGCATTATTGTCTCCTCCAGTGACTCTTGTCTTCTCATAATGTGACCAAAGTGCCTTACAAGCACTGCGATACTTCTTCTGGGTGGCCACTGGAATCTGCAGCAGCAGCAAAACAAAGACTCCTGGGGTAGCTTTGCCATAACGACATTTATTCCGGCGTCAGCATTCGGGAATCAGACCTCGGCCTCATCAGACAGTCCTAAAGGTGATGCCGGGATTAATTCGGCTCGTCTGCCGAGTCCCGCCGAACTCCAGTCTGGTCTCCCTGACGCTGCAACAGCCTCGAAAGGGGAACGCCGCCCCTCGCTTTGCCCTCCGAGCCCATAACTCCGGTCCGGCCATCTCCCCCCGGGGCGCGGGGGCCCGTCCGGCCCGTCCCTCCCCCCCTTCCCTTCCTCCTTCCCCCGCCGCCCACTTACAGCGCCTCCCTGGCGGGCGCGTCGCCCTCCGGCACGAGGAAGCCGAACTTGTCGACGCGCCGCTCGCCGCCGTCGCTGCTGCTGCCGCCGCCCACCGAGCTCCGCAAGTCGCTGTCCCGTCGCAGCTTCGCGTCCATCTCGGCCGCCTCTGAGGCAGCGTCGGGCGGCGCTGCCATCCCGTTCGCGGAAACCAAAGCGACCCCTCCTGCTGCTTCGCCGCCGCGGCTCTTGGCCATGACCGGCCCCCTCAGCTACAGCGGCGGCGGCGACGAGGGGGAGGGAAGCCGACCCGGCGCCATCAGCGCCCGCCAGGAGCCGCCTCAGCCGATCCGGCCGAGCCGCTTCTGCCTCACCGATTCGGGCACGCCCATTGGCTGAAGCGGCTCCTCCAGGCCCACCCTCTCTCCGCGCCCATTGGTTGCCCCCGGGTGGGAGCGAAGTCTCCTCCCTCCCGCCTCAGATCAATGGGCGTCGCGCTTCCCGGCCCTCCTATTTGGGAACAGCTAGTGGTCTGGACAAAGGTCTTTGGACAGCTGGGATGCCAATCAAGGTCTTGCTGCCGCCTCCCGAACTTGCCCATCGAGTCCTACAGACGCGTGTTTAACACACACACCCCCAAAACCCCGGAGGCATTCGGGACATCTCAATTCTGTTTCAGTTCTACGGATGACAAACTTGGGAGTTCTCCCTGGAGGAAAAAGAAAGGAGAATTCTAAGGCATTTTTGCTAAGAAAAAATTGTAGTTAGCTGGTATGCTTTGGAGTACAGAAATGTTGCAAACTTGAATCCGTGCCCTAAATCCCCTCCTTCCGTGTTCATAATTCTTTGTTCCTGTTTTCTTCCTGTTGTTATGTAGATATTTCCGCAGAATTAGGTTTCGCTTCATGTGTCTTGTGTACTGAACTCTAGCACAGAAAAGCTTATGCTTAAAAAAACAGGAAAAAACCTCTGTCTTTTAACATGTCACAAGATTCCAGTATTAAAACCTAAGCTCCGTAGGTGTAACAGAAGTGCTCCTGAGCATGTGTAGAATGACCAGTGAGCAATCTCGGCATACATACCTCCTAATATTTAAACACCTCTGCTCTCAGAGCAAGGAATCACAACCCCTCTTATAATTTTAAATGCTCTTACATACTGCACCGTTTCAAAAGATTGCCATTTCAGGCTACTGATCTTCTGTCTGCTTGAAACTTTGTTTAGACAAAAGTTGTAGGCTGCTGCACCAGCCCATAGGAACAAACCCAAAACCACTGGCAGAGTAATACATACCCAAAATGGTGCCAAAATCATCACCAATCGAGGTTCAGTGGAATGGGTCGCTTCAGGACTTTTTCAGTGGTGGCACCAACATTATGGAACTGTCTATCAGCAAAATCAAAATCTGTAGAAACCTTTTCACCTGGGACCTAAAACTAGAAAAAGCAGGAGCCAGGCGAGCTGCAGTGACTCCAGGGTCAAAGCACTCCTATTGAAATGGCAGCCCCCTACCCCTGAGGATGAGAACAAACAGGCGTGCTTCTTACAAAGACCTGGACTTATGACACAATAACTTCGCACTGTAATGTGCCTAGTTTCCCACCAGCTGTAGCAGCTTCTCTCTTGAGAACTAACCACTGAAGTCAGTCAACGGGGCTTAGAAGGGTGTAACCAGTCTTAGGATGGTACTGCAGATTGTTCATCAGTGCAGAAGCCTGTTATTCCGACTGCATCGCTTCCCTTGGCACACTCCCTGGTTTTTTGCCTTGATAACAGATCTGACCCCTTTGCGATCTGAACTCCATTTGGACAATCTGAAACCTGCAGCAACTGGAAGCTAATTTTGCATGACAGATGGAAACATGCATGCAGTTATCTGTGAGATAGTGTTGTAGTTTTGCTGTATGATTATTGCAGATGAGACTGCTAGTAATAGTGTCTGGATAAAAAAAAAATATCTTATCCCTTTAATAGAAACTTCATGGGATGTTCTTTCACAGGAGAAAGAGCCTTTCTCCACATAAACACCTGATCCACCTCAGGTGCAAGGGGCCACTTTCTTAAGCTGTAACAAATTACTTGACAGATCTATCCACAGCTCCTAACAGTTTGGTCGAAGGCCTTGCCCCTTCCATGCCAGTTTGGTGTAGTGGTGTAGTGCGCGGACTCTAATCTGGGAGAGCTGGGTTTGATTCCCCACTCCTCCACTTGCACCTGCTGGATGACCTTGGGCCATAGTTCTGGCACAGCCATTCTTGAAAAAAGAGCAGTTTCTGTCAGAGCTCTCTCAGCCCCACCCACTTCACAGGGTGTCTGTTGTGGGGTGGGGTGGGGTGGGGAGGGGAAGGGAAAGGAAAGGAGTTTGTAAGCCGCTCTGAGACTCCCTTGGGTAGTGAAGGGTGGGGTATAAATCCAATTCTCTTCTTCTTCAAACCCAGAGTGACTAGGATTGCCAACAGGACAGTGTGTGGACATACGCAGCTGAAGCTTGTCATGGCATGGAGTAAATAACATCAATAATTTGAAGCCTCTATTAAAGGGATAGGACAATTTTTCTCCAGTCCATCTGGCAAGCCTAAGAGAAAGAAGCCATAGTCCACTCAGTCTCTCTCTCTGGATCTGATACTACATTTCTAGGCATAACTCCTGCACATTTAACAACAGGCAGAAATTCAACAGGTGACACTTCTCTCCACTATCAAATCTTCTTCTCCTTTCCCTTTCCTCTCCTTTCCCACAGCTAAAGATGCTAATTGCAGGGATATTAGTTATATTAATCTACTAATTGTAAAACTATGCCATATCTCATAGCAACTGTAATATTGACATTATGCTTTTTATACATTTATGAAGACAAAATAAAGTACAAAATGAGCTATTAAAAACCAACTCCTCTTTCCCCCTTACCTTTAGCTTTAGAGCTGTAAAGCTTTTCTGTTCCTCTGGTGACAACGTTCTTAAGGTGGGAACCAATTGCAAACCACGATCTCCACTGGGCAAGGGTCTTGCCCACTTTTGTGAAACAAAGGCTGGGTGCCACCATGGGAAATAGTGCTCAGAAGAGCCATGGGTGCCATGTCAAAGAGCTACAATTTCGTTCCCAAGGGTTCTAAAGCAGTCCCCTGGCTTGCAGAAAAATTATGTTTTTTAAAAAACCATTTTGGGTTACAAAGACTCATAAATGTCAAGTAATATCTGCTCGTGAACAGATATAGCCCCAAAATAAATCAATTATGGAATGAGGGTGACATTTTGAGTAGCCCGAGTAGCCCTTCTGCCCTGTCCCCCTTGCCCAGCCCCCTTTTCTTTCTCCTTACCATGCCCTAGGATGAGAGGAGGGAGTGGATGGGCACGAGGGGATAGGAAAGCAAACTGGGGGGAAGGCAAGCGCTGCCGGATCTCTTTTTTTGTATTGTAATATTCTGTGTCTAGTTTCCCTGTAGTAACACATGGCTGCCATAGCAGGGGTCATTTTCTGCAGGAGTGCAGAGGAGCGGAGCTCCGGCAGTAAAGAGCCCAGGGGGCGGGCACATACAATAAGCCCCACCCCCTGCTCCCAGCAGCCCTCAGTCAGAGCAAGAAGCAGCCAGGTAAGCTGCAGAGCCCCCCCGCCGGCCCCCTGGTCCAAAACAGTCCAGTGGCACCTTTAAGACCAAGTTTTATTCAGGTACAAGCTCTCCCTCCTCTGCGAGAACAGATCTACACGTCCCCCGCCCCAATAGCTAACAATCCAAAAACAGTCCAGTGGAGCCTGAGGGGTGGGTGTTGCCTTCTGACACACTTCCGGTGATTTCAGGGGGTGTGGCCTATGCAAATAAGTTATGCTAATGAGTTATGCTAATGAGCTCCTGCACCTCTTTTTCTACGAAATGACCCCTGGCCATAAGCATAGTTCTCAGCTGTTATTGTGATATTTCCTCTCTGTCTGTTTGATACCACAAAGCCTGTTATAAATTCCGGTTATCTGTTAATAAAGTAATTTGGAATGATATGACTGTGCTTTTTCTTTCTTATGTAATGCAATGCGATTTTTCTTTCTTACATTTCAGCCTACCACATTCACTCTTTCGCGAAAGAACTTGCCTTCTTGATCCTCTCCCATCCACACCTCATCCTGTTCTTTGCATGAAGCGTCCTCCTTTCTTGTCAGCCTTGGTCTGTACACTTGCCACTCTCTGGTGGAGAAACAGAGAGACAGAAGGGCTTATTGGAGTACTAAGGAGAAGGTCCCCTTCCTTCCTTCCTTCCTTCCTTCCTTCCTTCCTTCCTTCCTTCCTTCCTTCCCCTCGTTGTCTGAGTGTGTCTGAGAGGTTCGCATCCTTGAAAGGTATCGGTGTCCCTGAGGCAACAAGCCCTCCATTGATGAGGTGGCACTCTAGTGTCACAATAGGTGAGGTCACTGCTGCAAAATGTCAAGGAAAGTAATCCCTCTACTCACACATACTGTGTCATTTCTAGGCTTCAATTTTAATGTGTTGACATATATTTCACCCCATCACCCCTTTTTCCACTGTATCCCCCTTCTTTGCTGTTTTATCTTTCCGGTTTCTTGGCTGCCTGTTTCATTTATTTTATTTAAAACATTTGTGAGCCACCTTTTTACCCTGTGGAACTCAAGGCGACTTACAATAAAAGCAGAACATTAAGGCACAGAGCCCTACCGCCTCACCCCTTTACTCCCCCCCCCCTTCCCACTCACCAGCCAACCTACCTTTATTTGTTCCCCTGTCTTCATCTTTCCCCCCTCAATTCCCACCCATCATTGTCTCCCTGCTAAAAGTCTGGCTATGTTGTGTGGTGGTCACTGACTCAGGGCTGGTCCCAGTTGTGCAGTGGCTGCTGCTGTCAGTGGGCCAGGCCTAAGGGCACCACAGCCACTGCTGCCAAGCCAGGCTAAATCTAAATCGTATCAGTAGTAAGTTTCTAGTAGTTGCTACTGGGCCTCTTATTGGCAAGTCCTCCTTCATCAGGGGACAGTATGATCTGAGGGAGGGGCCTTTCCTGGGCTGTTTTGGCCTCCCAGTCTACTCCTGCTCCCTCACCCACAGCTTTGCTTTCCAAAAATCAAGGTATAGAATGCTTGGCAATAGTGCTTTGGTTGCCAAGCAACCCCTAATGGCCACAGAGTCCAGCGGGCATTCTTAAAGCTACAGATGAGTTTTGATTCCATGTTTAATTCCATGATGTATTATTTCCCCTCAGATTTCAGGTTTTTTTCTGCAAATTTGGGACTGTGTCCAAACAGAACCCCCCCCCCAAGTCTGCCCCTACCTCCATTTTGCAACTCTATGAATCATAACATGGCATAAAGTTTGAGTCCAGTGGCACCT